AACCAGGAGCAGTGGGACGATGGCTCAGAAGCCCCTACTTCTGGGCCGGGAACAGCGGGACTCAGTACCTTGGTCTGGTGGTCTGGTGTCCTCTGCGTCTTTGTAGTGTGGAACCAGGTGGCTGCCTGTCTGCAGCGGGCTGATTCAGCGTGTATTCCGCGCCACCGGGGACCTCGGTAGGGCTTGCACAGGCCTGCCTGTCTGCAGCGGGCTGATTCGGCGTGTTCTCTGCGACTCAGGACCTCGGTAGGGCATGGTTTTTAATTTCATTCTCTTATGGTCAGAAAACATGTCTGATTTAAAATTTTTTTTTTTGCTACTGGGGATCGAACTCAGGACTTTGTACTTTCTAGGCAGGTGGTGAATGATTTCAATTTTTAAAAATGTATTGACTTATTTTATGTCTCAGCATGCACTCTATCTTGGTCAAAAAGTGTATTTTGTCACTCTTTAGTGTTCTGTAAATATTAATTAGGTCATGGTGTTTGATAATGTCCTTTAAATCATTTGTATCTTTAATGATTTACATAAAATTTTAAATACAGATGAATAAGGAACAGAAGAGTGGCAGACAGTTTTATAATGTAGCATGTATTTCAAGCAAAATGTTAGCACTAGTAAGTCTGGAGATATGCTGCTGTCCCAAATTATCCTCTTGACTCTTCCCCTACATCTTGTTATTTTCAGTTTCCCCAAATACTCCATTCTAATGAGGATGAGAACCTGCATGCTGTATTTTTCTATTTAAATCCCACCTGTGCTATAAGCCACAAAAATACCATATAGGTAAGATAATTTTTAGCATCAATATCTTATAAATCCACAAATAGGGCATGGGTCCCTAGTGAATTATAATTTTGAGAGCTCAAAATAAGATATAACTTGATCCTTCAACAATTTATTGAGTACCTATTCTGTCCTAGGCTGTTGGGCAGTAAACAAGTATTTAAGTAAACACATGCATAATTCATAAAGCAGTGCCCTAAAGAAAATGAGGCAAGGTTATGAGAAGAGAGTGGGATGGATATCTTTTGTAGCCCCTCCAGATCCACTGTCCACACCCTGGGGAAATGATTGGTTGGGTCAATGGAATTCTGTCACTGGGGAACATTGGCAGGAAACTTCAGGGAGGGAGGAGAGAGAAGTGGAGGTCTTTGTGAACTGACTGTATCTTGACAAAAGGTCCTTTTCAGATAGCCTTCTAGCTCTTCCTCTCTTTCATCCTAGAGGCAAAAAAACCATTCCATTACTGCTAGCTGTATGGTTCTTTACCATCTCTTTGTGGTTTCCCTTCACCATGTCTGTGCCTTTATACAGTTCTTAAATTGTCTTACATTGTGTATATGTCATCTATTTCCTGCTGTCACCCTGCTGTCTTTATGTGGGTCGCCCGGGTTAAGAATAAGGCTAGCAACATTGGATAAGGCAATGACACAAACGCCTGAGACCTACCTGACAAGAAGTCAACACAGTTGGGGAAATCTGTGGGGAAATTCTCTGAATAGAAATGCAAAGGTTCTGAAGTTCCTCTCACCTGTTTAAGCAAGGGAAAGGGAAGGCCAATGTGGCTGGAACGTGGTAAGGGAATGGGAAAGGGTGAAGTCAGGGACAAATTGAGGAGACTAAATCTTGTTGATGCTGTTAAGGTATTCTTTGTATAATGGGAAACCAATGAAGGTTTTTAAATGTGAGGATGATAAGATCTGAGTCATAGTTTTAAAAGATCAATTTTATTATGTATTAGATGGAGAACAGTTAGGCAGTCACTCCCACCAGGAAGGTCAATTAGAAAGCTAATTCAGGAGTTTAAGCAAGAGCTCGTGGTGGTAGTTTGGACTAGAGTGGGTGGGTGGATTAGGATTATATTTTGGAGGAGGAGCTGATAAGTCTTGTTGGTGGATTAGATGTGGTAGTGTGAAGTTTTGAAATGCTTATGAAAAATGTCAAAGTATTAGTTGAATATTCACATCTGGAGCTCCAAGCCATAGAGATAAAATTAGAGGCTTCAGCCAGACCACCTGAGTAGATTATTTCAGAAAAAAAAGAACATACGTGGAGTAGTTTCCAAAAGTGCAGACCCTTGATGGCTTGATCAAAAACAGTTTTAGTGGTAGATTTAAACATGTATTTGAATGAGTTGAGGGGGAAAAATGTGAAGTGAGGGAAGGGAAACAACTGTACACATTTCTTTCAATAAATTTTACTGAAAGGAAGGTAGAGAAGTGGCGACAAAGGCAGAAGAAATTTGATAAAAGATCCTGTAGCAAAAAGATTTTTCTGCTGATGAGAATGATCCAACAACAAAAGAAATTGATGTATATGTTTTGGGGAACAGAGGAATGGGAGAAAGCAGGAGGTAGGAGTTGACTTCACAGTTCTCTTCTGTAAAAGAGGATATTTAGAGATGGTGGATATTCTGTAGGCTATTTGAGAAGCTATGTGTTGACTAATGTGGGTGACATACTAGCAAATACTTATTCACTGACAAGTGTATGCCGGGGCATAGCTTTAAAAGATTTTAATTTAGTTCAGAAAACATAATTTAGAAAAATTAAATATTACCATAGAATTTTAGTGTAAGTTACTAGAGTTAGGGAATGCTTCAAAATGAAGTGAGTAGAAGAGGCATGGAAGGGAAGTAGAGCAGCCGGCAACAGTTCTCAAAATGTGCTACTAGAGATCTCTACATCTTTTTTTGTGATCTGCAAAGCCAAAATTATTTTCACCATAGTATAACAGTGTTATTTGTCTCTAATTTCATTCTTTCACAACAGTACAGAGTAGTTTTCCAGAGCTTACATGATGTGTGATAAGACAAATTGAACACAGAAGCAAATACAAGAATACAACTGTCTTTTATTAAGGCAAAAATTGGATAGACTTGAAAACATTAAAAAAATGCCACTTCTATTAGGGGAGTGGAATACATCTATTTTTCATGAAAATGTTATCTATTTTAACGTCTAGTAGATTTTTATTATTTCTAATAGTTAATATGTAAATATTTAAAAATTTGTCGATTTTAATATTGGATATTAATATAGTAAATTTCTACAGATAAAAGACACATAGGGCCACGGATTTAGCTCAGTGGTTTTGAAGCCTGCTGCGCAAGCGCAAGGACCGGAGTTCGATCCCTGGTACCAAAAAAAAAAGCCACATAACAAAAGTTATTTAGGAGCTTTTGATAATTTTTAGAACCAGATCTTTCAGGGTTCTTTAATTTTGTTTTGTTTTGTTTTTTGGTGCTAGTGATTGAATTCAGGACCTTCCCCATGCCAATTAAGCATATGCTCTATGATTGTTCTGTACTCCTAGCCCACAGTTTTAAAAAAGTTTTTTAGTAACTGAAGACAAAAATGTTTGATAATTGTGTTAGAATCGCATATTATGATTCAAAATTTTGGGAAGGAACGGATGTGACAAGGCATTTCATCAGGTGATAAAATTAATTCCAATTCTATGAATTGCATGTATATGTGGACTATTAATGAAGTTAGGCCCCACGTATTTTTTTGGTACCGGGGATCGAACTCGGGGCCTTGCCCTTGCGAGGCAGGCGGCAGAACCACTGAGCTAAATCCCCGGCCCCTTAAGTATTTTTTTCGGTTATTTTGTGCTCCATGACCCAAAATAGCGTGTAAAAAGTAGGAAAAAACAGTTTCTGTTACTTTTGTGTGAATTAGCAAAAGCTCCATTTTCCTCCAACTACTCTACTGCCATCTACTGGAACATAAGTGCAGTATATTCACAAAATGGAAAGATTGTAGTGTGTGTGATGTTCCGTTGAATTGTGTAGTACACAACTGACTGTGTTGACTTTTTGTGCCCGCTGGAAGATTCTGTGGCAGCAGTTAGTCCTAAATTGTGAGACTAGAAAGTTTGAGAAGGACTGGCAGAGCAAAGGGGCTAAGCTGGGGTGGAGCACAGTGAGTTCAAGCAATAAGAATAAAAAAGGATAATAAAGCAATGAGGATAATAAAGCAGAAATACTGTGTTAGGAATAGTGAGAAATAAAGTTTGAGTCAGAGTAATTGGAAAACATTGATACTTAAAGTAGTAGACATCAGATAGGCATTGAAGGTTCTTAAGAACGGCACAAGCTAGAATTAAGAGAATGGGAAAACCCCAAGCAATAGTGATTGGCAGGATGATTGGAAGGATAGGTGGATGAATGGATTTGTGGATGGATAAATATCCAGCTGGAAGCAAAGTGGTCTGAGAACAGGAGACCAGGAAAGATGGCATCATGTTTCTCAATACAGTCTCCTTTTTTTACAGACTATTTTAAGGGGGTCAGGGTATTTAGTAGGAACATTCTGTTAAGAAATAAACATCAAACTTAGGTTTTTAGACTGGAGAGCTGGCTTTTTAGTGATTTCCTTAAGCCTCCCCCTCCCCCTCCCCCTCCCCCTCCCCCAGTTTTATAAGAACAATGAAATTTCTGTTCTTTTTTTTTTTTGTACTGGGGATCGAACTCGGGTCCTTGCACTTGTGCAACAGGCGACGAAACCACTGAGCTAAATCCTCGGCCCTTCTGTTCTATTCTTAAGGGTGAGGTACACAAGTTATTTAAAATATTGCCCAAGTCAGTACATGAAGATCATTCCTACGTTGGAATTTATCCTGCTGCCCTCTACTGGATATTGCATAATTATAAAAGTAATTCTTCCATTGATGGTCAATTAATGAAGGCTGAATTGTCAGTTGAAATACAGAAATTCAGGCCCAGAAAAGAAAAGGACAGAAAAAGGAAATCAAGGTATCATACAAAAAGGAAATAAGTCAAATCAAAAATATGCAAATTTAGAAATACTTTCTAACTTTTATTTTGAAAATTTCTAACCTACAGAAAAGCACAATGAACAATCATCTTTTATCTAGGTTAACATTTTTCAATATTACCCCTCTTCTCTGACATACATATATGTATATCTATGCATATATACATGCTATATGTATTTTTACCTTGTAAATTCCAGTCATTTTAGCTTCCCCAAAATGGCATTTTTCTACATATTTCCAATACCATGATCACATCTTTTAAAATGAACATTTATAACAACAACAAAAAAAGGACATTTATTCAGTATCACAAACATATAGCCCATATTTAAATTTCTCTGTTCTAAAAATGTTTTTTGTGGCTGTTTGCTATTTTATTTGCTTTTAAAATTTGGATCAAAATTTACACATTGGATTTATTCTATTTTAACTTAGTCTAATTTAATATACCTCTTGCTTTTATCTATTTTTCATGATATAAAACTTACAGGCCTCTTGTCTTGCATAATGAACCATGTTCTACAGTTTTCTGATTTCTTCATAATTCAATTCAACTGAAACAGTTTTGGTACACACACACACACGCACACACATGTACACACACACCCTGTTTAGTTTCAGGTTGTCCCACTATTGTTGATGCTAACTGTGTCCATTATTTTCTTTTTTTATGAAAAAATAAAACAAAAATTTCAAGTGGCAACTAACAGACCACCAGGGGAGATAGTTTTCCCTTTGTACTTATTAGTCTGTGGAGTGAGGCTCTATGGGTATATGACTGTCTTGTTTCCCAGCAACAATTCAATAAATGATTTGAGCATCGATGAGGATTCTTGCTTTAGTCAGTTGCACTGGCGGTCACAAAATGATCCATTTCTAATTCTATCACCTTTTCTGTATTTATTTGATAGGTGTTGACTGGTATTTTTCTATAAAACACAATTTTTCTTTTCCTTTTCCCACCCCTTAACTTCTGGTAGTTACTGTGGACTCATGGATTG